TGTCTGTGTAGAGGGCGGGAGAGTGGGAGGTAATGAGACTGTACCTTTCTGTGTAGAGGGCGGGAGAGTGGGAGGTAATGAGACTGTACCTCTCTGTGTAGAGGGCGGGAGAGCGGGAGGTAATGAGACTGTACCTCTCTGTGTAGAGGACGGGAGAGCGGGAGGTAATGAGACTGTACCTCTCTGTGTAGAGGGCGGGAGAGCGGGAGGTAATGAGACTGTGTCTGTCTGTGTAGAGGGCGGGAGAGTGGGAGGTAATGAGACTGTGTCTGTCTGTGTAGAGGGCAGGAGAGCAGGGAGGTAATGAGACTGTACCTCTCTGTGTAGAGGGCGGGAGAGCGGGAGGTAATGAGACTGTACCTTTCTGTGTAGAGGGCGGGAGAGTGGGAGGTAATGAGATTGTGTCTGTCTGTGTAGAGGGCGGGAGAGTGGGAGGTAATGAGACTGTACCTTTCTGTGTAGAGGGCGGGAGAGTGGGAGGCAATGAGACTGTACCTTTCTGTGTAGAGGGCGGGAGAGTGGGAGGCAATGAGACTGTACCTTTCTGTGTAGAGGGCGGGAGAGTGGGAGGTAATGAGACTGTACCTTTCTGTGTAGAGGGCAGGGAGAGCGGGAGGTAATGAGACTGTACCTTTCTGTGTAGAGGGCGGGGAGAGTGGGAGGTAATGAGACTGTGTCTGTCTGTGTAGAGGGCGGGAGAGTGGGAGGTAATGAGAGACTGTGTCTGTCTGTGTAGAGGGGCGGGAGAGTGGGGGAGGTAATGAGACTGTACCTCTCTGTGTAGAGGGAGCTGGAGAGTGGGAGGTAATGAGACTGTACCTCTCTGTGTAGAGGGCAGGAGAGTGGGAGGTAATGAGACTGTGTCTGTCTGTGTAGAGGGCAGGAGAGTGGGAGGTAATGAGACTGTACCTCTCTCTGTGTAGAGGGGGCAGGAGAGAGCAGGGGAGGAGTAATGAGACTGTACCTCTCTGTGTAGAGGGCAGGCAGGAGAGTGGGAGGTAATGAGACTGTACCTTTCTGTGTAGAGGGCTGGAGAGTGGGAGGTAATGAGACTGTACCTTTCTGTGTAGGGGGGCAGGAGAGTGGGAGGTAATGAGACTGTACCTTTCTGTGTAGAGGGCGGGAGAGTGGGAGGTAATGAGATTGTGTCTGTCTGTGTAGAGGGCGGGAGAGTGGGAGGTAATGAGACTGTGTCTGTCTGTGTAGAGGGCGGGAGAGTGGGAGGTAATGAGACTGTACCTTTCTGTGTAGAGGGCGGGAGAGTGGGAGGTAATGAGACTGTACCTTTCTGTGTAGAGGGCGGGAGAGTGGGAGGTAATGGGATTGTGTCTGTCTGTGTAGAGGGCAGGGAGAGTGGGAGGTAATGAGACTGTGTCTGTCTGTGTAGAGGGCGGGAGAGTGGGAGGTAATGAGACTGTATCTTTCTGTGTAGAGGGCGGGAGAGTGGGAGGTAATGAGACTGTACCTCTCTGTGTAGAGGGTGGGAGAGCGGGAGGTAATGAGACTGTACCTTTCTGTGTAGAGGGCGGGAGAGTGGGAGGTAATGAGACTGTACCTTTCTGTGTAGAGGGCTGGAGAGTGGGAGGTAATGAGACTGTGTCTGTCTGTGTAGAGGGCGGGAGAGTGGGAGGTAATGAGACTGTACCTTTCTGTGTAGAGGGCTGGAGAGTGGGAGGTAATGAGACTGTGTCTGTCTGTGTAGAGGGCAGGAGAGCGGGAGGAGTAATGAGACTGTACCTTTCTGTGTAGAGAGGCAGGAGAGTGGGAGAGCAATGAGATTGTGTCTGTCTGTGTAGAGGGCAGGAGAGTGGGAGGCAATGAGATCTGTGTGTGTCTGTGTAGAGGCAGGAGGAGTGGGAGGTAATGAGACTGGCCACCTTTCTGTGTAGAGAGCAGGAGAGTGGGAGGCAATGAGATTGTGTCTGTCTGTGTAGAGGGGCGGGAGAGTGGGAGGCAATGAGATTGTGTCTGTCTGTGTAGAGGGCGGGAGAGTGGGAGGCAATGAGATTGTACCTTTCTGTGTAGAGGGCAGGGAGAGTGGGAGGTAATGAGACTGTACCGTTCTGTGTAGAGGGGCGGGAGAGTGGGAGGTAATGAGACTGTACCTTTCTGTGTAGAGGGCGGGAGGGAGTGGGAGGTAATGAGACTGTACCTTTCTGTGTAGAGGGCAGGAGAGTGGGAGGTAATGAGACTGTGTCTGTCTGTGTAGAGGGCAGGGAGAGCAGGAGGTAATGAGACTGTACCTCTGTGTAGAGGGGCAGGAGAGTGGGAGGTAATGAGACTGTACCTTTCTGTGTAGAGGGCGGGAGAGTGGGAGGTAATGAGACTGTACCTTTCTGTGTAGAGGGCAGGAGAGTGGGAGGTAATGAGACTGTGTCTGTCTGTGTAGAGGCAGGAGGGAGTGGGAGGCAATGAGATTGTACCTTTCTGTGTAGAGGGGCAGGAGGAGTGGGAGGTAATGAGACTGTACCGTTCTGTGTAGAGGGCGGGAGAGTGGGAGGTAATGAGACTGTACCTTTCTGTGTAGAGGGCAGGAGGAGGAGTGGGAGGTAATGAGACTGTACCTTTCTGTGTAGAGGGGCAGGAGAGTGGGAGGTAATGAGACTGTGTCTGTCTGTGTAGAGGGCAGGAGAGCGGGAGGTAATGAGACTGTACCTCTCTGTGTAGAGGGCAGGGAGAGAGTGGGAGGTAATGAGACTGTACCTTTCTGTGTAGAGGGCGGGGAGAGTGGGAGGTAATGAGACTGTACCTTTCTGTGTAGAGGGCAGGAGAGTGGGAGGTAATGAGACTGTGTCTGTCTGTGTAGAGGGCAGGAGAGCGGGAGGTAATGAGACTGTGTCTGTCTGTGTGTAGAGGGCAGGAGAGTGGGAGGTAATGAGACTGTACCTCTCTGTGTAGAGAGCGGGAGAGAGTGGGAGGTAATGAGACTGTACCTTTCTGTGTAGAGGGCAGGAGAGCAGGAGGTAATGAGACTGTACCTTTCTGTGTAGGGGCGGGAGAGTGGGAGGTAATGAGACTGTACCTCTGTGTAGAGGGCAGGAGAGCAGGGAGGTAATGAGACTGTACCTCTCTGTGTAGAGGGCAGGAGAGCAGGAGGTAATGAGACTGTACCTCTCTGTGTAGAGGGCAGGAGGGAGTGGGAGGTAATGAGACTGTGTCTGTCTGTGTAGAGGGCAGGAGAGCAGGAGGTAATGAGACTGTACCTTTCTGTGTAGAGGGCAGGAGAGCGGGAGGTAATGAGACTGTACCTCTGTGTAGAGGGGCAGGAGAGTGGGAGGTAATGAGACTGTGTCTGTCTGTGTAGAGGGCAGGAGAGCAGGAGGTAATGAGACTGTACCTTTCTGTGTAGAGGGGCAGGAGAGTGGGACGTAATGAGACTGTACCTTTCTGTGTAGAGAGGCAGGGGGAGAGTGGGAGGTAATGAGACTGTACCTCTCTGTGTAGAGGGCTGGGAGAGCAGGGAGGTAATGAGACTGTACCTCTCTGTGTAGAGGGCGGGAGAGCAGGAGGTAATGAGACTGTACCTCTGTGTAGAGGGGCAGGAGAGTGGGAGGTAATGAGACTGTGTCTGTCTGTGTAGAGGGCAGGAGAGCGGGAGGTAATGAGACTGTACCTTTCTGTGTAGAGAGGGCAGGAGAGCGGGAGGTAATGAGACTGTGTCTGTCTGTGTAGAGGGCGGGAGAGTGGGAGGTAATGAGACTGTGTCTGTCTGTGTAGAGGGCGGGAGAGCAGGAGGTAATGAGACTGTACCTCTGTGTAGAGGGCAGGAGAGCGGGAGGTAATGAGACTGTACCTTTCTGTGTGAGGGCGGGAGAGTGGGAGGTAATGAGACTGTACCTTTCTGTGTAGAGGGCAGGAGAGCAGGAGGTAATGAGACTGTACCTCTCTGTGTAGAGGGCGGGAGAGCAGGAGGTAATGTGAGACTGTACCTTTCTGTGTAGAGGGCAGGAGAGTGGGAGGTAATGAGACTGTGTCTGTCTGTGTAGAGGGCAGGAGAGTGGGAGGTAATGAGACTGTGTCTGTCTGTGTACTAGGGCAGGAGAGCAGGAGGTAATGAGACTGTGTCTGTCTGTGTAGAGGCAGGAGAGCGGGAGGTAATGAGACTGTACCTTTCTGTGTAGAGGGGCTGGAGAGTGGGAGGTAATGAGACTGTGTCTGTCTGTGTAGAGGCAGGAGAGCAGGAGGTAATGAGACTGTGTCTGTCTGTGTAGAGGGCGGGAGAGTGGGAGGTAATGAGACTGTACCTTTCTGTGTAGAGGGCTGGAGAGTGGGAGGTAATGAGACTGTACCTTTCTGTGTAGAGGGCGGGAGAGTGGGAGGTAATGAGATTGTACCTTTCTGTGTAGAGGGCGGGAGAGCGGGAGGTAATGAGACTGTACCTCTCTGTGTAGAGGGCGGGAGAGCGGGAGGTATTGAGATTGTACCTTTCTGTGTAGAGGGCGGGAGAGCGGGAGGTAATGAGATTGTACCTTTCTTGTAGAGTGCTGGAGAGCGGGAGGTAATGAGACTGTACCTTTCCGAACAGCACATTGCTGGATTGTTTTACCTGACGGCGGCGGTCTGTAGTTAATCGAGTCTGATCCAGACAATCCAGTGATCAGCATCATGGATCTAGCCAGTTGGGATAATATGACATGTGTTAATCAATTAATAGGTTCTACCTCAGCGAGCCTGATATTTGGATGTTTGCGTGTTTGTGGCGCATGACACTGCCACACCTGTTTTTTTTCAATGTGAACAGCAATCAGTGATTGTTAAGCTATCAGCAGCTCTTAAAAACCGCTCAGGGGTTGCTGAAAATGCGTCATGAGTATACTGCAAAGAAAGAGAGATGCCAGGGAGATGTGTTCATCGAAACACAATATAAACTCTTAAGGTCGTTATCTACAACTCCAGTTTGCCTCCGGATATGTGCAAGAGTCCACAATGTATGTTCGTGTTGGATGTAGTTAGTCTTATACATCAATTACAGATATTCTTGTTTTCTCACTTAACAACAGAGGAAAAGAAGACTTCGAAAATCAGTGACTGAAGCCAACACAATATTTCTGAAATACAACATCATAGTGGGATTCAACATGCAGATGTCTGGGTGTGTTACATCCAGGACGTTTGTGAGTATACCATACACATATGTCTTTATTACTCATATAGGACCCGTGAAGATCCGGGTTAGAATTGATCTTCAGTAACCAATACTTGTCGTAAGAGGCGACTAACGGGATCGGGTGGTCAGGCTCGCTGACTTGGTTGACCCATGTCATCGGTTCCCAATTGCTTAGATCGATTCTCATGCTGTTGATCACTGGATTGTCTGGTCCAGTCCACCTCCATACTGCTGGAATATTACAGAGTGTGGCGTAAAGCACAACTCACTCACTCACTCATATAAATGTCTATGAATTCCCATCGAAACTGTAATAGTCTATTATTCAGCAACCTTGTCTGATGATAATAAGATATTTCTTACGATGTGAAATATAAAAGTGGCATCTACTTGGATGTATTTTGAAACTCTCCTCTCTCCTCTCATAGAAGTAGATTTGCCTTAGTGTATTCCATAGCTTCTTGTACCTGTTCAGCAGCTTGTCTGATCTGATTGATTGATGCTGATTTTAAGCCCGAGTTTGGTTTTACAACCCGGCTGAGTGCATCTAAGATCATGTAATCTTATCTCGTCAAATTTTTTGTGACAACAGCTTAGATACATTTTAAAAATATTAAGTCTGATTTAATGGAGAGAAACACACATCTCTCTCTCCCTCACTCTCCCCCTCTCACTCCCTATCTCTGTTACTTCCTTACTCTCTCTCACTCCCTCTCTCTCCCTCTTCCTCACTCTCTTTCTCGCCCTCATTCTCCCTCTCTCATCATATAGATTTGCCTTTGAGTATTTATATTTATCATACTGTTCAGCACCCTTGTCTGATGCTATATGATGCTGATTTTCAGCTCGAGTTTTGGTTTTACAATCCGGTTGAGTGCAAGGTAGGTACACAAAAAGGTTACCTCTCACCTAAAAGGAAGCCATCGAGCAATGTTCGTAGGGCTGGACCAAGTCTATCACATGACCTAAAATGTGTCATAATGTGATTCGCGTTCCTTACCGGTGGACAAAATCCACTTTGGTGTAGAAAACACAGTGATTTAAGAAAATGGTTCCATTGAACGCTGGATGAATTCATTTAACGAGCTTCCTTTTCTTCCTTCCTATATTATATCTGTATGCGTTAGCTGGATAGTTGGATGCATCCTCTGTATGGCGGCGTAAAACCCAGGCATGTTGGTTATCTTTAGACTCAATGCGTCACGTACATGTAAGGTCAATGTCAAAGCACATTACGTGACGCCCTTTCAGCTGACACACCCCACTGGGTGTAACGTAAGTCAGCTGACACACACAACAAAAATAACTTCGTTTCCATTTTTGCGGAAACCTAATGGATACTGGGTAATGTACGTTTCCGCTAGGTTTCAACATCCGGAAACAGACAATGTGAGTTTCCGCGTAGTTTACAAAATTGAAACTAACAAATCTAGGTTTCCGTCTGATTTCTACAACTGAAACTGTCATTATGAGTTTCCATTTGGTTTCAGGTCGCTGAAAGATTCATAACAATATGACTTAGTTTCCGTTGTTTGCGGAAACCTATTGAATACTGGGTAATGTAGGTTTCAGCTAGGTTTCTGTACCCGGATACTGACAAGTCTGTTGGTTTCAGCTTAGATGAAATGGCAAACTTAGCTAGGTGTTGTTTCATTTGGGGCTATATTAATTTACTGTTACACTTGTAAAATGAATTTCTATATACAGTATCCAGCTTGGGCCCATGCAGGAGGGAAAAGCAATAGCCCATTTTTATACTGTACTGTTAAAGTGTTTATGGTTATATGTTTTTAGGTGTACATTTGTGATAGACTAGTTATTTTACTGTCTTTCGCAGACAGGTAATTTGTTTTTATATATATGCACACATTAAAATTTAAATTTCCAAGGTTAGTTTCAGCGACTGTAAACTACCGGAAACCAACAAAGTTAGTTTCCAGAAACGGAAATTTAAAGTAAAGTATCATTGGTAGTTTCCATTGCATAAAAAGCAGCTGGAAACCATCATTGATAGGAACGTCAATGAAACGAACGTAATGAGAAATTACTCCATATATACCAGTATATACCGCATATAACCGGACATTAACCTACGCTAAAAGCTGTCTATGTATTCCATGTATATAAGTTTCAGTTTAGTGATCTCCAGTGTTTTTGTACACCAGAATTCAAATAAAAGATACTGTCACATGAAAGAAGAATAATTTCAGGAAAAGTTAAACCATATTACGGAAACTTAAGATTCTACTTTTGTCTCCTTAACGGTTTGTTAGGTACACTCACAGATGCCTTTAAATTACTGAGGAACCGATAAGGGCTCCATTAGGTTTCAGTTACCCATTGGCTTTCCATTTGTTTTTCTCAAAAGTGATACATACTAATACAACTAACTGGGTGTGGTTATGCACATAACACATAACTGTACTAAAAGGACAATAGTTTCGTAAATATCCAATAAAGAACATAATACAGGCTTCAACAAATTACACAGTAGACTTATAGATATAAAATATGTTTAAGTTTAACGTCATCTGCCAGTGGTGAAAAATGTTGGGATTGAAAGAAAATTAAGTCAATGAACGTTTTGCCTTTTAATTATAGCATTATCATTATTGATCCATTATCATATTTAGAAGAACTTTGGAACCTCATAAATTTATTAAATGGCTTTCTAGATATGTCATAGAGTACCAAAATATAAGGGAATCAGTTTACAACCTGAAAAAAAAACTAAGAGATCTTGTTGGGTACGCCCTGGATTGTCAGAAGAGGAGGAGAGGTGGGGGCTTATAACTCACATGAACAATGTTGTTTGTGGAATAATTTTGTTGAATGCTACAAGAAAGCTGAAAACAAAATACAGATATCAAACTTAAAACCAACTAACGTTATAACAAAACTAATGGGCTATTACCTTGTTCGAAAAGTATCCATCAGTATCCACATAATGGAACGATATGCCATTCATCGGCAGCTGCCCCAAAAAACTGTTTCCATGTCACGTGACCGGGTTTCACTGGACACCAAAGATAATACACCTGACAAGTTTTTACATAATGTCACAATTCTTTAGAAACGGTGCATGTTGTTTTTAAGGGATTAGCTATCTGAAATACCTAGCGAAATAGGTGACACGAACTCACCCCCTTGTTCACTTTACATGATGAAAATCAATGAAATTGAACTCACTTAACTTGTTTTGATTGATATGAGTAAGCACCAACTCATCAATTTGGTACATAATATGCTGGCCATACTTTCAAATTCATCACTTTTATTATGGCAAAACAGCAGTTACATGTGTAAAGTAAAAGTTCATTCCGACTTCACGAGGCTGTATGTATGGATGGTACGCTTTAGAGAAATGCTACATCTTGGATGTCCTGGGTATGTTGTAGAGTCTCAGCTGTCTCCACTGTAGATGACATAGTCACCAAACATCCTGACATACGTAACCACGAACGTGTCAACAATGATATAAAGGTATGATTTATAAATATCCGCTGTGGCAATAAATACAACATGTAAGATAAATATATTTTACAATACCACTTTGATGATTTGTCAACAGGAAGAATAAATGTACTTGCGTTCGCAGAAGCTTGGTTTCATACTTAATGAAACTGCAGTGTAGACTGGATGTGTACTATGTACATGTATTATGAAATTGTTTTATCATTATGATGATTAAAATAATTTTGTGCCAAGATGTCATTTTTAATGGATTTTATTGTTGTTGCCATGTCATGAATATGTAAAATATTATCTAACATCTGGTATTTTCTACGGATATCACTTCGTTGTACAATTTATTTTGTTTCCAACTTGGGAATTTAGTGTCACCTGCATGCCTATCATCACAGATTATGTCCATTGTTCTCCAAGTGCGGTCAACCTGAAAATCCTGTGTGTCGCCCTTATTGTTGTTACAAACATCACAAATGTCTACGTCACGGTACTAAACCTTTTCGAGTATACGTTAGTAACTCTACAAACGTAAAGACTATCTTTTGACAAAGACGTCGTGCAAGATAAAAGTAATAAATCAATTAGCGTGTTATCGGTTAATCCTTTCATCTGTGTTTTTTTTTAACTCAGCTGATAATTCCTTTTGCTGCACCTGCATGCATATATTACATAACATGTAGTACTATATACCTGTTATAAGTTCACTAGATGACAAAAAAACCGGGTAAAATCGTTCTATTGCATGCAATATTAATTTACTACAGAATCTTAGGGAACTACGCTGTGTGGTTTTAAAATAATAGGTGATCAACCATCACATTGTTCTTGATATGACTAAATATCAGGTAAAAAACACAGAAATAGGATCAAATTGGATCGGTCATATACGATCAACGCGTCGGAAAATCTGAAAAAAAGCTTATACTGATTTCTGGAATTACTTTATTACGGGAAATACATCCACCGTTCATATTGTTTCACTCTTTTTGTTGAGGAAATTCTGCCATGGTTGACAGCTGCCCAGTCCCTGGGTCCGTCACGGTCGAGGTAGCATGTGCTGCCCACCTGGCAGTCAGATCACATACTAAAATTGTTGTCCCGAAACCGGAAGCGCTTGATTTGGAATGAATGAGGCCTCGCGAGATGTGACGGACATTGTAAAAACAAACAATTTACATAAACACATATTGCAGTTATCAGTGTTTTTCCAAGCTTGTGAAGGGTAAGCAGACTATTGGCGTGTTAACAATAGAAATGAAAAAAACAACCTAATTGACTACCCATAAGTCTTTGTTTGAAATGTCGCCATCTTTGTTCAAACGTACACGCGCGAGCTTGGAAAAAACTTCGTTGTTGTTTCTCAAGTAAGTCTATGAGAGGAGTAGTAGAACTGGCAGTCTGTATACTTGCTATAGTTTTCTTGACACATGGCAACAAACTTGACAATCGAAGCTGGAAACAAGGATCCGGGAACTCAACTTGATCTCAACGGAAACCCAAGACAGAGAATTGGCAGGTAGGTTTCCAGATAAAATTAATTATTTTCTTCTTATCATAGCAATCAGTTTGCATCGAATTAAACGTTTTCGGTAGGAATCTACAGTAACGGTGCGCTCGCATTGATTTCTCCCACGGTTATTAATGTGGACATTGCATTTTGGTGTGAAATCTGTTAAAAACAACATTATTGTTGATGCCAGCTGAACATTCCGTTAAAATATAACCATAAGACAAGAATACCCTTGTGTTCCTGTACGTTGAGTCTGATGTTTACATAATTTTTATTTCCTGCGGCAGCTCATTTTGTTGCTGGGCACAACCAACACCATAACCAAATATTTATTCTTCAGTCATTTTTTCTGAGGTGTAATTTTGTCTCAGTATTATTCTTTTCTTGTCGGACTATTTCAATTATGTATCCAGCTACATTGGAACCGTGTACTGGAGCAGCGTTTATATAAGACACTTGGCTTGTTCACCTTTCCAGGTTATTGATGGAATAAAAATATATTTTAAGAAATTGTTATACATGTATCCAGCAAGGCAACAAATATAGATGAAACCAGTAGTACATGATATTCCGGTGGAAAATATTACCAATCGCCATATGTTCGCTGATCCAAATGTGTGTCTCATTTTGTTTTAGGCTATTGTGAGAAGAATCATGGAAAAGTTCCTGGAGTACCTTGAAAATCCATTAAAAGTTACTTATTTAAGGTAAAAAAAACTTACCCCAAGTTTTATTATTGCTCGTCATCATAATCAAGATATATGTTGGGTTTTATAAGATTAGACACGTCAGTAATACAAAAATACAATTAATTCGTTTCTTGTTCACCATTGGGTAAATCTAGCATCTAATTATTTCATTGTCAGGTATCTAGTACTAGCAGTAGAATTGACATAGCATACTATTATGTGGTATATTTGCTGCATAATCATGTCTGTCATGTTAATAGAAAACTTCTCACACCCTCGCAGTGAAATGCATATACATGTAGTTGATATACCACAATTACTTATTACTTGTTTTGATACATGATAATAATCAAACTTATGAATGTTTGTGTCGGATTGTAATAATCTATTATTGGACGAATGAAAATTAATTCATTTCCTTTTCTTAATAGAAACCTTTTGGGTAATCTGGAGGAGCAAGACGGACGATCGACGTCGGCAGATTACAGGAAAGAAAAACACAGGAAAGATGCTAAAAGAAACAAAAGAATCTGATCTGTAAGTTCCTGAAACTGGATTATATAATATCATTTGTACCGGTTTATACACTTCCTGACACCAGTTTAAAACACCCTGAGTCACTGACATGATGTGCTACATATTATCACATCGCTATATACCTGTAATAGAATAACTTTCCTTATCACATGTCATTACCCATCACCGTAATGTGCCATTATCTAATTAGAACAAGTGCCGCTCTCAAGAATAAATGTTGGACATAACTTTCGCAGTGCAAGAATTTCATTTTTCCCCCCAGAAACTCCATCACCTCCTGAAGAATCTAGCTGGGCAGAGAAAAGAACACAGAAGGTGGCTGCAGTCCTAACCCTAGAATTGACATCGCCAGTGGTGTCTGAAGCTCCGGCGGCAAAAATGAAGAACTTGCAATTGCGACACCATCAACAAGATGCTTTCCAACCACCTAAAGGTCTTAGAAATGGGATGGAATGTCTAAATGTACATTCAATTATCTCCTGTAGTCACCCTGTTTAGGACAAGAACATCTAAATTTGTTGTTTCTGAGACTAAGATTAAAATTAATGTCCCTCAAATTAAAAATGTCAACCCTCTCCATAATAGTTATTTGAACAAACTACTACTCATACAAAATTTCAAATCCATAGGGCCTGTGATGACCCCCACACACACACCCCTCTCTCTCTCTGTGCTTTGTGTCAATGTTTAATTGTAACATTTGAAACATAGATATGATATGTTTATGATGAATAAAGAGAAATCGACTGACATGCCTGATTTTGTATTTATTTATTTCTATGTCCATGTGGTGTTGAGGGTAACTGTAGTTGAAATGAGTTTATTTTATATTTCAATGTATCATGAATAAAATATATGACCTAATACATTCAAATATATAATACACTCATTTCAACTACACTTAATTTAGTTGAATAATCATAATTTAATATGGACATATGGTAATCCCTGAATACTAATGATTGAAACCAAATGAATCCATACAGATTCTGATTTACTGAAACTTATGGAACATGGTAAATGTGATTAATAGAAACGAAATTCACAGGGAATCATAATTGAACTAAGTAAATACAATGTATATGAAACCATCTGAAAGTAGAGGATAAGGGAAACCCAATGGAACCTCATAGGAATCTGCGTAACGGAAACGCACTGGAACCATACAGGAATCTGGGTAACGGAAACGCACTGGAGCCCTCACTGGAAACTGGGTAACGGAAACGCACTGGAGCCATGCCGGTTTCTGGGTAATTTGTAAGTTTCCGTTTTCCGGAAACTTGAAGGAAATGTAGAGAAACGTTCCGGAAACCTAGTTGAAACTTAAGTTTCCATTTTGTTTCCGTTAGGTTTCCGGGGTCCGGAAACGCAGTTATTTTTGCTGTGACACCCCACTGGGTGTAACGTAAGTACAGCTGACACACCCCACTTAGTATAACGTAAGTTCAGCTGACACACCCCACTTAGTATAACGTACGTACAGCTGACACACCCCAATTAGTATAACGTACGTACAGCTGACACACCCCACTTAGTATAACGTAAGTACAGCTGACACACCCCACTTAGTATAACGTAAGTACAGCTGACACAATCCACTGAGTATAACGTAAGTGCAGCTGACACACCCCGCTTAGTATAACGTAAGTGCAGCTGACACACCCCACTTAGTACAACACAACCACGACTGGCACACGACTCCAAATGACACAAACATTGCTGGTACGCCCCAAACAAGTTTAACACAAACAGAACTGACACACCCCGCCAAGTATAACACACCAAAAACCAGTGGCACACACCCCAGTATAACACAAGCACAAGTTACACGTTAATCTGACAATACAACAGTGACTTATTTATTCATTGCATCTGCTGTCTCGACATACAAAATACTTGCTATGCTAACATTTTTGTCTGTTTAGAATTTCTTGGCACGATTCCTTGAAGGTAAACACAAGGGAATGAATACACGCGTGTCACAGGTGAGTTACATCCTTTTACGACTGAGATACCCATTTCAGTGTTGCAACATAGAAACGACTAAAACATATACGGACATAAAATCAAATTATGATTAATCAGGCTTTGATCCATTGCTTTGCAATGAAACTATGCCATCTGAAATAGATATTAAACTCATATATATGTATGAGCACATCCACCACGTATAATACAAGCAGAAGTGGCACACACCCCACCAAGTAAAACACACGCACACCAGTTGCACCCACTCACCAAGTATAACACAAGCACAAGTGACACACATTCCACCAAGTATAACAATAATACTGCTGGCACACCCCTCTCCAAGTATGACACAAACACAATTGGCACATGCTATATAGTACAGTACAAACACAACTAGCACACCCCACTGAGTATTACGTAAGTGCAGCTGACACACCCCACTGAGTATAACGTAAGTACAGCTGACACACCCCACTGAGTATAACGTAAGTACAGCTGACACACCCCACTAAGTATAACACAAGCACAACTGACACACCCCACCAAGTATAAAACAAAAAAACAAAAACAAAACAAAAAAACAAGCTGCACACATATGCATCCCGCCAAGTATAACACACAAAAAAATAGTGGCACACACCCCAACAAGTATAACACAAGCACACGTTGCAAACACAAATTAAATTAAAGTGATGCGCTGAAGAAAGTATCCCGTTTAGCCTTCTGATTTGATTTTCTGTTTTTCTTTACACAGGTATATGCATCCCAGCTGATTCACCGACATAGTGTGAGCTACACTTCCGCCTACAAGGAAGGTCAACTGAAGATCAAACATGGCGTCAGACATGTCAGTAACGCTGCTTGTCTGTGTCAGTACATTGAGGAGAAGTACTGTGAGGGTCGGATACCACCACTTGGTGTTATTTGATTGTCTGTACATTGAGAAGTACTGTGAGGGTCGGATACCTCGACTTGATGTTATTTGATTGTCTGTACATTGAGAAGTACTGTGAGGGTCGAATACCACCACTTGATGTTATTTGATTGTCTGTACATTGAGAAGTACTGTGAGGGTCGGATACCTCGACTTCAAGTTATGTGGTTGCCTGTGCATTGATACTCTGAGGGTAGAATAAAATGCCTCCTCTTGATGTTATTTGATTGTCTGTACATTGAAGAGAAGTACTGTGAGGGTCAGATACCACCACTTGATGTTATTTGATTGTCTGTACATTGAGGAGTACTGTGAGGGTCGGATACCTCGACTTGATGTTATTTGATTGTCTGTACATTGAGGAGTACTGTGAGGGTCGGATACCTCGACTTCAAGTTATGTGGTTGCCTGTGCATTGATACTCTGAGGGTAGAATAAAATGCCTCCACTTGATGTTATTTGATTGTCTGTACATTGAAGAGAAGTACTGTGAGGGTCAGATACCACCACTTGATGTTATTTGATTGTCTGTACATTGAGGAGTACTGTGAGGGTCGGATACCTCGACTTGATGTTATTTGATTGTCTGTACATTGAGGAGTACTGTGAGGGTCGGATACCTCGACTTCAAGTTATGTGGTTGCCTGTGCATTGATACTCTGAGGGTAGAATAAAATGCCTCCACTTGATGTTATTTGATTGTCTGTACATTGAAGAGAAGTACTGTGAGGGTCAGATACCACCACTTGATGTTATTTGATTGTCTGTACATTGAGGAGTACTGTGAGGGTCGGATACCTCGACTTGATGTTATTTGATTGTCTGTACATTGAGGAGTACTGTGAGGGTCGGATACCTCGACTTCAAGTTATGTGGTTGCCTTTGCATTGATACTCTGAGGGTAGAATAAAATGCCTCCACTTGATGTTATTTGATTGTCTGTACATTGAAGAGAAGTACTGTGAGGGTCAGATACCACCACTTGATGTTATTTGATTGTCTGTACATTGAGGAGTACTGTGAGGGTCGGATACCTCGACTTGATGTTATTTGATTGTCTGTACATTGAGGAGTACTGTGAGGGTCGGATACCTCGACTTGATGTTATTTGATTGTCTGTACATTGAGGAGTACTGTGAGGGTCGGATACCTCGACTTCAAGTTATGTGGTTGCCTTTGCATTGATACTCTGAGGGTAGAATAAAATGCCTCCACTTAAAGAGAGCTGCTCTGAGGATCGTGGTTCCTCGAGCGTTACATTGTGTGGCTCAAATAAGAGAGGTTGGTCTCCTGCAGATGATGGCCAAGGAACTGTGTGAGGGTCATCTGTTGAAGACAGCAAAGGGTCTGCTCGGTTATCAGGTGTCTATAGTCTGTGGACGATAACCAAATGTCTTCTATTGCAGAAGGTCCGACAGGAACTTCTTTATATATATATAGTTCACCTATTATTTCACCCATATAGTTCACCTGTTACCGAAGGTTCTTGACGTCCTGGAGCTGGTTGCTGGTCATCAGTACCAAGGCATATTACCAGTAAGTGCTTGATAGGGACCCACCTTATTTGTTTTGTGGTCGCTGCTCACAGACAACGGTGTGACTATCATCCCTGCAGTTGTGTCCTGGATGCTCACAACGAAATATATTATGTGTCATTAGGAATGATTGGAAACATTTTATCTACTCAAAATAATAATAACTAGGAAACAGGAAGTGCTGTCCCCTGCTCAGAGCACTTATCAAGGCGACTCGTGAAGGTCCGGGTTAGAATATTGATCTTCAGTAACCCATGCTTAGGCGACTAACGGGATTGGGCGGTCAGGCTCGCTGACTTGGTTGACACATGTCATCGTATCCCAATTGCGCAGATCGATGTTCATGCTGTTGATCCCTGGATTGTCTGGTCCAGACTCGATTATTTACATATAGCTTGAATATTACTGAGTGCGGCGTAAAACTAAACTTACTCACTTACTACTCACTTATCAAGGCAGTGCAATTACTTACTCAGAGAACTCCCTGGTACTGTTCAAAGTTAAAGCGGGTTAGAATTGATCTAACCCATGCTTGTCGGAAGAGGTGACTAACGAGATCGGATGGTCATTCTCGCTGACTTGTTGACACATGTCATCGTATCACAGTTGTGTAGATCGGTGCTCATGCTGTTAATCACTGGATTCTCTGGTTCAGACTCGATTATTTACAGACTGCCACCATATCGGTGGAATATTGCTGAGTGCGGCGTAAAACTGCACTCACTCACTCACTCACCCCACATCCAAGGTTATGTCATTTATGTATCGTAATGCATGTGTGGTTGTATTCACCTGACCGGAATATTATAGTTCTAGGTCGCTTACTGCGAGCTTAAACTGTTGAGCGCCAGGCACGGTAACAACAAGTACACTGGCCAGGGCACTGAAACATCACCGATAAGCTCTCCGGAAGGCTTTAGCTACAAGGCTACTGAGAAGGCGGTTATCAACCATGATGAAATTTGAACCCAGTCCTTGTATCAGGCAAACTGACACAAACCATCAGGCCCTTCGAATTTGGACCCAGAGACCAAGGAGGCGATCAGACCAAGAAGAAAGCAAGGATGTAGACTTCTGATCTGTCACGCCTTCTCCACCCTCTCTCACTAATAAACGTTTGGTGGTGGTGATGCTTGAAGTATTAGGAGAAAATCGAGGAGCAAAACAACAATAACAACAACAACAACAACAACAAAAAGAGACCATGTTTTGTTTACATAAGACCATGCGTGTAGGAAATAGTATTAAAAATATTTTGGGAAATTATTATTAATTATTTTGACAACAAGACTTTTTCCGTAAAGAAACATCTGCAAACTAATGTGTACAATAGATCCATCTCTTGTAGTTGAAAGCATCAGCGAATTGGAGTGATGATTTCTAAATTCTTGGAACAAGCTCGCGTAGCATTCAGAAGATAATTACTGACTTTAATATTTCGAAAACGAAAAAAGCCCACAAAACAAAAACACCCAGGCAGATCCGAACGCTAAATATTTTGGCTCAATCAATCAATTTCCCAAAATTCATAATTTCTTTTACAGAGGTAAGCGTGCATGTACTATCACCAAAGAAGAAGTGCCCCGTATATAATCAGTCAATGTGGCTGGCCCTGTGCGAATAATGACCCTGACATCAGTCCTTGACTTCGTCTGTGGAGAACCTTCACCCAATCATCAATCCCTGAGGCAAGCACTGCAGGTATTCCTGATGCCAATGGTCGCCAACCGGGCAATCTTTCAAGAAGGCATTGCCGATCTCGTCACAATGGTAATATTTAGTCACATCCGTGGGATGCGCGTGGTAGAAGATTCTGTCACGGTCTGAGTTACCACAGGGGTTCATAGAATGGTCGGTCATGGTAGGGTGGACGACAGGCTTTGGGGTGACCAGGGGCCGGGCAGTTGTGGGTGGAACAACATCCCCGCGGACGCAGGAGTGAACGTTGGGGTCGGTGCTGTAGATGTAGTGGGGAAGACATTGGAAGAAGAGCGCGGGCTGACTGGCTCTGCACAACACGAATCTTGTCTGGTCGGCGGTGTCAGGCATGTATGCGATGGAGCCGGCTGGGCAGCTGAACGTCATGGTGTCTGCAAAACGAGGAAATATTATATTACACATTAGATAGTATATTACCTTTCAAAGCCCCTGGAGACAGAAAAGATCACAAGTACCTCATGGAGATTTAGGGAAAGAAAGGGTCACCAGTATCTCATGGAGATTTAGGGAAAGAAACGGTCACCAGTATCTCATGAGGCAGAAAGGATTACCAGTACCTCATGGAGATTCAGGACCAGCAAGATCACGAGTACCGCATGGAGATTTGGGGACAGAAAGGATCATGAGTACCTCATGGAGATTCAGGGACAGAAAAGATCACCAGTACCTTATGGAGATTCAGGTACAGAAAAGATCACCAGTATCTCATGGAGATTTAGGGACAGAAACTATAGCCATTTCCTCGTTGAGATTTGGGGACAGAAAAGATCACCAGTATCTCATGGAGATTTAGGGACAGAAACTATAGCCATTTCCTCATGGAGATTTGGGGACAGAAAAGATCACGAGTACCTCATGGAGATTTGGGGACAGAAAGAGTCACCAGTACCTTATGGAGATTCAGGGACAGAAAAGATCACCAGTACCTTATGGAGATTTGGGGACAGAAAAGATCACTAGTATCTCATGGAGATTTAGGGACAGAAACTATAGCCATTTCCTCATGGAGATTTGGGGACAGAACAGATCACTAGTACCTCATGGAGATTTGGGGACAGAAAGAGTCACCAGTACCTCATGGAGATTTGGGGACAGAAAAGATCACCATAGTACCTCATGGAGATTTAAAGACAGAAAACATCACAGATTTAGAGTACCTCATGGAGATTCATGGGGACAGAAAGAAAATATCCTCACGAGTACCTCATGGAGATTTAAAGACAGAACCTTAAGAGATCAGAAAATAACCAGCACCACGAGTACCTCATGGAGATTTGGGGACAGAAAAGATCACCAGTACCTCATGGAGATTTAGGGACATAAACTATAGCCATTTCCTCATGGAGATTTGTGGACAGAACAGATCACGAGTACCTCATGGTGATTTGGGGACAGAAAGACAGTCACCAGTACCTTATGGAGATTTGGGACAGAAAAAGAGTCACCAGTACCTCACAGGGACAGAAAAAGATCACCAGTACCTTATGGAGATTTGGGGACAGAAAAGATCACTAGTATCTCATGGAGATTTAGGGACATAAACTATAGCCATTTCCTCATGGTGATTTGGGGACAGAAAAGATCACGAGTACATCATGGAGATGTAGGAGCCGAAAAGATCACCAGTACCTCATGGAGATTTGGGGACAGAAAAGATCACGAGTACCTCATGGAGATTTAAAGACAGAAAAGATCACCAGTACCTCATGGAGATTCGGGGACAGAAAAGATCATGAGTACCTCATGGAGATTTAAAGACAGAAAAGATCTCGAGTACCTCATGGAGATTTGGGGACAGAAAAAGATCACCAGTACCTCATGGAGATTTGGGACAAGAAAGTATCTCATGAGCACTATATTTACCTCATGGAGATTTGGGGACAGAAAGAGTCACCAGTACCTTATGGAGATTCAGGGACAGAAAAGATCACCAGTACCTTTGGGGACAGAACAGATCACGGAAATTTGGGGGGACAGAAAAGATCACCAGTATCTCATGGAGATTTAGGGACAGAAACTATAGCCATTTCCTCGTGGAGATTTGGGGACAGAAAAGATCACGAGTACCTTGATTGGAGATGGAGATTTGGGACAGAAAAGATCACCAGTACCTTATGGAGATTTAGGGACAGAAACTATATCCATTTACCTCATGGAGATTTGGGGACAGAAAAGAGATCACAGTATCTCATGGAGATTTAGGGACAGAAACTATAGCCATTTCCTCATGGAGATTTGGGGACAGAAAAGATCACGAGTACCTCATGGAGATTTAGGGACAGAAAAGAGTCACCAGTACCTTATGGAGATTCAGGGACAGAAAAGATCAGATTTAAAGACAGTACCTCCTCATGGAGATTTAGGGACAGAAAGATCCAGAAACCTATGGAGTAGGAGATTCACCAGTACCTCATGGAGATTTGGGGACAGAACAGATCACGAGTACCATTTCCTCATGGAGATTTGGGGACAGAAAAGAGTCACCAGTACCTCATGGAGATTCAGGGACAGAAAAGATCACCAGTACCTTATGGAGATTCAGGGACAGAAAAGATCACCAGTATCTCATGGAGATTTAGGGACATAAACTATAGCCATTTCCTCATGGAGATTTGGGGACAGAAAAGATCACGAGTACCTCATGGAGATGTAGGAGCCGAAAAGATCACCAGTACCTCATGGAGATTTGGGGACAGAACAGATCACGAGTACCTCATGGAGATTTGGGGACAGAAAGAGTCACCAGTACCTTATGGAGATTCAGGGACAGAAAAGATCACCAGTACCTTATGGAGATTTGGGGACAGAAAAGATCACTAGTTTCTCATGGAGATTTAGGGACATAAACTATAGCCATTTCCTCATGGAGATTTGGGGACAGAAAAGATCACGAGTACCTCATGGAGATGTAGGAGCCGAAAAGATCACCAGTACCTCATGGAGATTTGGGGACAGAAAAGATTATGAGTACCTCATGGAGATTTAAAGACAGAAAAGATCATGAGTACCTCATGGAAATTTGGGGACAGAAAAGATCACGAGTACCTCATGGAGATTTGGGGACAGAAAAGATCACTAGTACCTCATGAAGATTCGGGGACAGAAAAGATCACGAGTACCTCGTGGAGATTTGGGGACAGAAAAGATCACGAGTACCTCATGAAGATTTGGGGACAGAAAGGGTCACCAGTACCTCATGGAGATTTTGGGACTGAAAACATTGTCAGTAGCTACTGGTTTAAATGAGTGTCACCATAATCAAGGCAAATCTTCGACTCGAATCCTGGCGCAATAAATAGACACTGCGAACAGTTTCGCCTTTGTCGACTGGTTCACCTTTATTCCTGACAAAAGTCAGATAAAGATATAATATATAAAGAATATGCGACCAGGTTGGTTGCGGGACATCCTTCGACTTCAACCCGTGAAGATCTTCAGTAACCCATGCTTGTCGTAACACATTGGTCTGAGTAACGCTGGCCACGTCGTCGCCATATTCTTGTTCTGCCATCTGCAGTTGATACGCAGTACCGACTCTCATCTGTGAACAGAACAGTTCTCCATTGCTTGTATCGCCAGTTTTGGTGTTGTAGGGCAAACTGTAGATGTTCACGCCGATGACGAGGGGTGAGGATAGGTCCACGGTAAGGTCTATGGCGGTTCCCGCTGTTAAAACGTCGGCGTACTGCATCAGTACTGATTGGTCTTCCGTGTGTTGCCTCTGTCTGGCGTGCTGTTTCGGATGCCTGCATGAAGGGAATCTGTACATGCTGTCGCAAAACATGGCGATCTTGTCGTCTTGTGGTCACCCTTGGTCTGTCAGTACGGGGGCGATCATTTGTGGTGTTGGTGCCAGGAAACTTTGCTGCAGCCTGTAGATGGTCCGGACATTGGCCTGAAAGTGATTGGCAACGGCTTGTGCAGTGTGGCCAGCTTAAAGTCTTTCCTAGCGCCTGGTTCCTCTGAGCTGTCGTAAGTCGCGGCATCCTGCTGACGTTGTAATGTGAATGTTTCAACCAGGTTTGGGGGTGCATTTTATAGGGCTGGTCCTTGTGAACAGCACGTGCAGCATGAGTTGCATGAAATAAATGGAGAATACCGTACCATCTCTGATTTCAGGTTGCGTTTTTGAGACCATTTCCTGGGTTCAATTCTGAGTTTGGGAAGGAATGTCTTTGCTCAGGTAAAGTTGGAGGTGTTGTAATATACAATCAAAACATTAATGAGTTTACAGTTATCCGTTTCTGCGAAGGAAAATTCCAAACTGACGTTTCTTTTGCTGCTTAGTATATATCTGGCTGCAACACACAACAAAACTCAGACACAAAACAACATTCAGTCACTCTTGTCCGATATTTTTTGCACAAACCATTAAAAGTACAAATGCAATGTTAACTAATAACTATGTTGAAATACTTACAGGGAGTTAACACCAAGTACGCCGTACTTCCAGACAGTGCGTTGAGACACGAGGATGGACTTACAGGGCTTGCGGGATTTGCAGGGGTTGCTTGAAAGAAAACACGATCATGAGAATGATGAAGGATCTAAAGGACACAAAATATATTATATCAAAGTGTATCCTCAAGTTTCAAGTGTATCATGTATCTATTTTAGCGTAAAAGATGACAATCGCAGATGCCACCCACCACGCGATTTGTTTTCAAAGGACTGGAGTTGTCTATAGTTGGACTATGGAATCGGTAATGGTTGACAGAAAAAGAACAGCCTGTGGGGTATCGAACCCGGGTCTTCAGCGTAACGAGTGGACGTTTTACCCATTAAGCTACCCCACCGCCTTGCAGGATTAATTGACCTTTCACAGAGATATATTGATGCTGCACATTTGTTGACATTTGGACTCGAAATACAGAATGTTTTACGCAGGTGTAAATCTTTATTCATTGGGGATAATTTCGAGGACTCAGCAGTAAATGGCTGAATGAACTGATTTGATTTAAACATATTTATTCAAGAAAATAGATTGGATACAAGTTATGCCAACTTAGTGAAACCCTCTCCTATTTACAGTACTTACATGCAAAAGTGAAACAAACTATATGTACAGGGATGGAAATATATATACAAAAGGATATATACAATACAATGAATTATATATACATGAATTATTTAGATTTTAAACATTATATCCAATTATTCAACCTTTTGGAGTTTGATATATATTTTTGAACTGATGACCCTCCTTCTATAGAATGGTCCTCATATCTTTATCCATTGGGTAACACATCAGAGCAACATAGCTAAGTTTGATAAGATATTCCTTCTACTTACTGGTATCAAGCTGTTTAGAAAATGTGTAGAAGTTGTGTGGGGAATGGGCGTCATCCCGGAAGTATTTCTTGTAGTATGAGCCTTGGTTCTCAACACCCTGTGGGAGAGGTTCGGTAATGGTGGACAAATAGAGAGCAGCAGCGAGTCCGGAGTACAGAGGCTTCCTGAGATCTGACCACTGGACTGTATTCCAGTCGATGTTGAAAAGTGACTGGACCTTGCCGATCAGACCACTGCTGGTGCCAGAGCTCTTTATCTGGTTGAACTTGTCTTGGTCAATCTGATGGAATATATACCTAAACTTTTTCATTCCATCATAGACACTGGTGAGACCAACAGCAAATAGTACATAACCTAGCGTGTTACAAATTCAATCACCTTCTTAGTTCATAGCATGATAACCCATGAAGATCCAGGTTAGAATTGATCTTCAGTAACGAATGCTTGGCATGAGTCGACTAACGGGATCGGGTGGTCAGGCTCGCTGACTAGGTTGATACATGTCATCGTATGCCAGTTGCGTAGATCGAATTTCATGCTGTTGATCCCTGGATTGTATGGTCTAGTTCCGATTAATTACAGACCGCCGCCATATAGCTGGAATATTGCTGAGTGCGGCGTAAAACTAAACTCACTCACTCACTCATAGAATGATAAATGAACACCATGAATGAATGCTTAAAGTCCCGGTACATTCAGATATCTTAAGCTACGTTACGGAAATGGGCGAGTGATGACGAGCGGAATACTCATGCCGAACCTGACAGGAAATTCGCGGGTCGACCGCTAAGTACTACGAGTTACGTCCCTTCCCTGTCTTTCCCATTTACCAATCTGAATCCAGCTGAAGTTGCATCAGACAAAATGGCAACCTCCAATCAAGATAACCTGACCGATAATCAGGATCATTATTGTAATAAACCAGGGCTTACCCCGTGATGTGCAGCAAATAAGGTACGCACCTTGATTAAAAACGTTAAAAGATGAAAAATATCGCTCGATGTTCCGCTGAAGGTAAACAAGCTCTGCAAGCCATGCGGTCGACCGAAATCTGTACAGACTGTGCATAGACCCACTGGTCAAGACAAAATATAACTTTATAATCCAAGCGGAGCACACTAGGGCAACAGGTGTTTATAGTCAGTTACCTCCCTTGTATCGGGAAGATGCGTTTCCCCACATATGCGCAAAACTTCAACACAACATATTTACTTTCTAAAAGCACGATATACTTTCCTAATGTTGATGTAAGTTATTTATACTCATGGACAAGCCGTCCTCTTGGAGCATTCGTCACCACTCGCCCCTTTCCGTAACCTCCAAGAAGGTATTCGGCTTGTCCCGGAATCACACGAGTTGGTCACGAATGCTCTTGGAGGTTACGGAAAGGGGCGAGTGCCCACGAATGTCGTCGCCCAACCACTGAAATTTCTCGGCTCGACCGTAGCGTCAAGAGCTACGAGCTATATATTACCTCGAAGTGGTTCAGGTTTCAAATGGGTAAGAATTCGGTGAAACCCACAAATACGGCTTCGTCGCAGACAATCCTAGAAACTTCAGGTCGGAGTTCAACCCACGACCTTAGATTTCTGGCACAGCAAAGGGATGCATGTCCTTAGACATCCGGGTCATCCGTTGCCCTGGTAATCACGTGATAATGAAGCCTAGTTGAGGTGCAGCGATAACGAGACAAATCTCCCACTGTCGCGTGCCCTTCCTGACAACGCACACTTCTCCCTTGTCACTTCAACGAATGCTTCTGTTTCTGTGCCCGGAAGAAACGTACCTAATTGCCAAGGTGACCCCATGACCCATAAGGAAACCATGTCACAAAATACAGTGTTTTTTCATAATTTCGAAGATAACTTCTTTAAGTGTCATTTAGAAGCTGGTATGACGACGAGATGGTGTGTCGATGCTAACACCGTTATCAAGCAAGTGATCCTTTCTAGATAATGGTGTTAGCATCTGCACCAAAACGTTGCATCTGTTGCAATAAGAAGTTATCTGTCCATTTTCGTCTCACTCTTCAATATCGAAGATTGTATTAAAATAAACAGGCTGATACAAACTGTATGATACAAGGTACGACATAAATTTCAATTTGATTAAGTGACGTAAACATTCAAATTCGGACCAAGGTAAAGATTTACAAAATAAAAAAGCCAGCCAAATCGATGTCCTGGCAAAACCAATCATAATTGTTTAATTGACAACCTGTACGGTGTTAAATGAATTTCGATGAATTTGTCAATTATCCAAATTACTGTGGATGCAAGATCACGTCTGTTCATTAATTAATATCAATAACAATTTATGAACATAAAGAATTTTCTGGATTGCATCTTCTTATATTCTTTGATACAAATCTTTATTTAAAATTCTTATGTTCATCAAATAGCCAAAAGTGCCAAATCAAGCATCCAATACCACTATGGATATATATTCTGAAAAATGGTAATATAGGGATGTGATTACACATTTTTCTAATTAAAAAACAAAACAAACTGACTTTCGTTAGATGTGCACAAAATGCGAACCTTTTTCATGACCTTTCAACTTATTTGTTCATTATAGATAGTTATATCAATCCTGCACAGTATTACTGGTGCCAATAAATGGTTGAAACAAAGCTGACGCGTCGTCAAAGATATTTCACTGAATTAATTATATTTTCACAGAAACGTATTGGAATATATGCCGAAGTTACGACACCCTTACGTATACTTTACATTAGCTATTCTTGAAACGATCTAGATAACTGTACATGTAGAGTTATGATTTATGAGGTAAAAGACCTATCAAAAATAACTGCAAAGCAACCATATCGTCTATTGTTGATTCATATTGATGTCAGCGAATAGAGACAAGAAATGTGTATGCATACAAACCGAATATTGGGACGAAGGTTAACACGTGTAGTTTAAAGGGGAAATTGCAGTACCAGTACGTTTTGTTCAAGTTTATACAAGATTGCTTTATTATAGTCGTTGGGTCAATACTGGCAATAGGAAGTAAAACATGTTATCCTTTTATACAGATACATATCCCAGTCGTCCCTCCAAATAGTCAAATAGTTTAATTGTTCCAATTCTACAACGACCAAGGCCCTGTTTCAAAAGGCTATCTAAGCGCTACAATATATAGGACCTAGCGCTAAGATCAGTTTGTGCGGCTGAGCCCAGACCTGTTCTTATAAGAGGCTCCAGAACCTATGAGCCCATGTAAGCACCCACCTGCCAGATTCCTCCATCGTAGCCCAGTCTGTACGTCTTAGCGTCTGTTCCATCACGCGTCTCCACGTACGCCAGCCGTCTCAGGAATTGCAAATCATCAGAGAAAAGGCAGGAATCTTGGATGAGGTTGGTCACAAACTCCACGACACTGGAACCACTTCCGCCTGGTACCAAAACACTGTTTGGAACCTGGCTCCTGGCTTGGCCCAGTAGGACGAGAAATGCTACAGCCGCGAGCATCACGTGTGGTTGGAGACTAGGGGACTCTCTTGAAGAACACTTAGTGGCGTCCACACAGTTAAATACAGGGAAGGACAATGTCACATGGCTTATCTCGAATGTCGTCGTTATGTTGAGGGAAGTATTCATTACACTGTAAGCTGATACGAAACCATGTTTGTTTTATAAAATACACTAGGCATATAAAGAAACTGCATACAAAAATTTAAAATCTAAATTTATCAAATCTGTGTAGACACATAAGGATTTCAACTCAGAGATTAGTGACATGTATCCAACATGCATGCATATGCCACGTTCCGTGACGTCAGTTGGTTCGTCCTTGAGACGTGCAATACGTTGTTGCAGAAACAGAGCAAATGAATGCCACACAATACTGTCACTTTGGAAAACTCAACCCCTGCCCTTGCGATCGTTCAAAAAATTAAACGGCTATTGAAACGCATAGCATGCCAAGGCTCACGTCTACACAACGTCATGAGGCTATTGGGATTGTCCGTGGGGGAATGTCTCAACGACAAGTGGCTGCACATTTCCACTGCCACCGGAACACCATTTCTGCACTGGTGAGACGCTACCAGAACACAAATGACGTCATCGATCGGCCACGTTCTGGACGTCCACGTGTAACAACGCCAAGACAGGACAGATGGATAAGGGTGACCCATCTTCGCCACAGGTTTCAGACTGCAGTGATGTTTGCCCGAACCATCCCAGGACTTCGCCGTATCCACCCCAACACAGTTCGACAACGTTTACGTCATCACGGGATCAGACCACGACGTCCCGCCATACGGCCTATTCTGAGCCTTGGCCTGCACATTCACCGGATCTCTCCGCGATAGAGCATGTTTGGGACGAGATGGATCGACGTCTATGCCGTCTTCCTCATCCGCCAGATAACGTCCTTGACCTTGCAACAGAACTTGAGAGAATCTGGCGTGACATCCCACAAGCCTTCCTGCACGTTTGATAGGCTCTATGCGTCGTCGATGCACTGCTGTTCTCACTGCCGATGGTGGACATACCCGTTATTGAGCTTGTGACATGGTCGTTTGACCCCTGTCCCGCTTGTGGACTCGTGACGTCATTGTGATTGACTTTTCAATTGAAATTCTCCCGACTCTGGTCTCATGATCCCTCCATTAAAGTTTATATGTACCTTTGACATTGTTATCGTACTTATCAACTGGGATAATATTTTGACAATGCTCAGTTTCTTTATGTGGCTAGTATATCATGTTACCGCATGGATGCTAAGAAATTTTCTTTCTAGTTTTGATTTTACTGGGGATTGTGCGATGACAGCATCTTGGCAGTTGCATGTTTCATGTTCAGGTTGCGTGGTCGTAAATAGCATCGAACTTACGTATGCGGTATAATTCAATATTCGCTCACTCACTCCAATCTGTGATATAGACAGATTTGTCGGATATTTACACTTTATTGCGTTAATGTAAGAGCAATTATTTCATGTAATTTCAATGGCAAAGAGGTGAAAATTCACACGTCTATAGACTAAGAGTTCGTCAACACAACAGCAGCCTTCATTGTTGTGTTTCTGTTTACGTGAGTCCACAAGATGGCGTCAATGTCAGTACTTTGTATGGCCACTAGACTAACAATATATTTACAGAAAAATAGGTTCATATATTAATAAAAACATAACATATTATGAAAAGGAGCCCTGAGATTTCTTCATTCCTGAAGCTGTGGAAATCTAGACTTGCCACATTTTCTAGACTTGCGTGGAAATTCTTGGGTATATTTGCTTCAGGGTCCGTATGACAGACTATATGGCCGAAGTCGCTCTTGCGGAATTCATCACCACTCTTCCTGCAGTGCGATGACCGGTGGAAGTGTCTGAGGCGTGTTTTTACGTTGACGTACACGTCGATCGAATTCATTCCATAAGTGTTCTATCGGGTTTAGATCTGGTGATCGGGAAGGCCATGGCAAGACATTGACGTTAGAATTGGCACGGTAGCGGACCGTGACACGTGCTGCGCTTAAAGTAGCGTTGTCATGCTGGAACAGCTCCGTCTGTCGGTCCAAAATCGGAGGCATGTGACGTGGAAGCACTTTGTTGATGTACCGATGTGCTGTCAAATTCCCCTGGAGCACCATTAAATCAGATCCTTGTGTGCTGGATATCACATGCCACACCATGACACTGTAGCCACCTAATCTGTCGACCTGTCGAATGCAGTTAGGGGCAAAACGTTTGTTTCTCCGACGGTAAACACGCTGTCTTCCATCTCGCCGGTGATGAAGAAATTGTGATTTTTCACTAAACCAGACTCGCCTCCACTTTCTAAGGTTACACTCTACGACACCACCGCAAGCTATTGCGCCGATAGACGTCTCTCAAAACAGGGGTGACAACTGGCCTTCTTGGTCGAATCCCCACTTCCTGCAATCGATTCTTGACAGATTGGTTGGAAATTCTTCTCAAACCAGGGATGCGTTGTGCAGTCTCCACGACTGTGAGAAGACGATGACACAAGTGAGCAGCCCGGATGTAGTGGTCCTGGGCTTGGGGGGTAACTCTTGGACGGCCGCTTCTCAGGCGATTTTAGGCTGAATTGGTCTGCAGGAAACGATCCCAAAGACGAGATATGGTGCTCTGATGAACGTTGAAATGTCGGGCAACTGCAGACTGCGACTCCCAAGATTCAAGGCGGCCTATGGCGATGTTTCGATTGGCGGCACTCAGTCGTGGTATGATGATTTCCTCTTTTCCAGGCGAAAACGAATGACAATATTAAACACAACGCTTGAATTTTAATAATGATCGATACCGCATGCTTTTCCGCGTACATGCACATGCATTTTGCTTTGCATGTTTTCTTGGAGACGTTTTGGCGAATATTTCTTCAAACGCTTCGAAAACAAGGGAAAAGGTAAAATTGCCGCGTTTTGGCGCTGATACTGTTTACAATCACACAAAGATGACTTTTTGGAAAGCAACAGTATATTTGTGTTGTTTTTGCCGCAGCTGCATGAGTCCAATATTCTCAAAATCACCTATGCGTTTCTTTTTTTATTTAGAATATTTGGTAGATACTGTTATAAAAATGTGTGCTCCGTATTCAATACAAAAACATCCCTCAATTTATTCACGTTCCGTAACATATTTTTTTTCAGTATATACGTGTGCATTACGTATGGATGCGCGCATAATACTGGTGAAGGCCTAACTGCGCGAGTGAGTGAGTGGATGAATGGGTGAATTGGTATTGGGGTTGTATCTGTATCAAAGCATGTGAGCTTGGTGTCGGGAATGTGTGAGTGAGTGAGTGAGTAAAGCTGTACACCGCTTTTGCAATATTCCAGCAATATCACTCTTGGGGCATCAGAAATGATCTTCATGCATTGTGCCCATGTTGGGAGTCGAGGAAAGGGGGGGCTTTGTCGCGACTTGTGAACGCTATCCTACCAGCCTATCTCAACTGGTGTTAGGGGTGAGTAAGTAGGGGCGTTGGGGTAGCCTAGTGGTTAAAGCGTTCGCTCGTCACGCCGAAAACCCTGGTTCGATTCCCCACATGGGTACAATGTGTGAAGCCCATTTCTGGTGTCCACCGACGTGATTTTGCTGGAATATTGCTAAAAACGGCGTAAAACTAAACTCGCTCACATTTCTTGTACGCATCAATATGTTTTTGTTTGTTGTTTAACGTCGCACTCGGCAATATTCCAGCTGTATGCCGGAGGTCAATAAATAATCGAGTCTGGACCAGTGAGTGAGTGAGTTCAGATTTACGCCGCTTTTAACCATATTCCAGCTATATAACGGCGGAGGACACCAGAAATGGGCTTTACACATTGTACCCATGTGGGGAATCGAACCCGGGTCTTCGGCGTGACGAGCGAACGCTTTAACCACTAGGCTACCCCACCGCCCCCCAGTCTGGATCAGACAATCCGATGATCAAATTCTTGACATGCGTCAACCAAATCAACGAGTCTGACCACCCGATCCCGTTAGTCGCCTCTTACATGTACGGCAAGCATTTTTTGTTGAAGACATGCGTTCCTCCTGAGGCAGAGTGGGTTTAGTTTTGCGCCGCACTCAGCAATATTCCAGCTATATGGCGGCGGTCTGTAAATAATCGAGTCTGGACCAGACAATCCAGTGATCAACAGCATGAGCATCGATCTACGCATCACTTGTATTTCATATTCAGCGGCGACAAATGAATCACTGCATTCCAAGCCTGGGACGGGTACTCGGATACTTGAATCCGGGTCGAGTACAGCTGGAACCGAGTCTTATTTGTAGGAATCAAGTGTCCGGAAAGGGAGCGAGCACTGTAATGACAAGGGCAGACAATAGCTTGTCTTTTTCATTTTTGACGTAACACACATTTACATCATTGAGTGAGTGAGTGAGTGAGTGAGTTTAGTTTTACGCCGCACTCAGCAATATTCCAGCTATATGGCGGCGGTCTGTAAATAATCGAGTCTGGACCAGACAATCCAGTGATCAACAACATGAGCATCGATCTACGCATCACTTGTATTTCATATTCAGCGGCGACAAATGAATCACTGCATTCCAAGCCTGGGACGGGTACTCGGATACTTGAATCCGGGTCGAGTACAGCTGGAACCGAGTCCTATTTGTAGGAATCAAGTGTCCGGAAAGGGAGCGAGCACTGTAATGACAAGGGCAGACAATAGCTTGTCTTTTCATTTTTGACGTAACACACATTTACATCATTGGTGGTGAGTGAGTGAGTGAGTTTAGTTTTACGCCGCACTCAGCAATATTCCAGCTATATGGCGGCGGTCTGTAAATAATCGAGTCTGGACCAGACAATCCAGTGATCAACAACATGAGCATCGATCTACGCATCACTTGTATTTCATATTCAGCGGCGACAAATGAATCACTGCATTCCAAGCCTGGGACGGGTACTCGGATACTTGAATCCGGGTCGAGTACAGCTGGAACCGAGTCCTATTTGTAGGAATCAAGTGTCCGGAAAGGGAGCGAGCACTGTAATGACAAGGGCAGACAATAGCTTGTCTTTTTCATTTTTGACGTAACACACATTTACATCATTGAGTGAGTGAGTG